CAAGAAATACCAAACTGTCTGAGGTGATGAGTACCGTGTTTGTACAATAATTGGATAGTCAATTCAAAATTCAAATCCCCAAAAAATGGATTAGAAATTATTAATGAAGGATTTTGCTTAAAGGCATGAAACATTTCTTGTATCGCCAATGCTAGATCTTTTACTGCTGTTTCGTAATCTTTCAGTTTTGTTAGTTGAGGAGTTTCTTCCATTAATGGATTACCCGTATTGGGGCGCAAAGGCTTTTCTGTTCTCAAAAATGCATTCATTTTATCAATAATTTCATCTGAGTAAGATCGCTCCGCAATGCGAGGATTACCATAGCCCATTCGGATATATTCTGCCATGTGCTCCACCATTTGCTGTGGATTCATTTTGCCAAATAGGGGAGCCGTATTGGGCTTAATATCGCTTAATAGCTGTACAAATTCGGATTGCAAAAACTGTTTTTTCTGCTCTATGTTCTCCATTGATGTCAATTTTGGTCTTTCTGCAAAAATACGCTTTTGTAGTTGTGCTGAGATGAAGCTAAATTTGTAGTCTGAAATATAAAAACAAGCATGAGCAAGCGCGAACAAATCCTCCAACTCCTAGCCCAAAAAATACTAATTATTGATGGCGCAATGGGTACAATGATTCAAAGATATAAACTCCAAGAAGCCGATTACCGTGGTGAACAATTCAAGAATTGGCACCTTGATGTAAAAGGCAATAATGATATGCTTTGCATCACGCAGCCACAAATTATACAAGCCATTCATCGGGAATATTTAGATGCCGGAGCAGATATTATTGAAACCAATACCTTCAATGCACAAAGGGTGTCGCTTGCCGATTATGACATGCAAGATTATGCCGACCAAATGAATCGTGCAGCCGTAAAGGTGGCTCGTGCGGCTATTGACGAGTACAAAAAGGAACATCCCGATGCACAAAAGTTTGTGGCAGGAGCTATTGGTCCTATGAACAAAACCTTGTCTCTTTCGCCTGATGTCAATAACCCAGGTTACCGTGCAATAACCTTTGACGAGGTTGCAGATGCTTATTATGAACAAATCAAAGCCTTGGATGAGAGTGGTGCAGATATTCTTTTGGTGGAAACCATTTTCGACACCCTCAATGCCAAAGCAGCCGTGTATGCTATTGAAAAGTATTACAACGATACGCAAAAAGAAAAACTACCTGTGATGATTTCGGGTACCATTACGGATGCTTCGGGACGCACTTTGAGTGGGCAAACTTTAGAGGCGTTTTATGTATCCATGATGCATGCCAACCCGATTAGCATTGGGTTGAACTGCGCACTAGGGGCGGAGCAAATGCGCCCACACGTAGAAGAATTAGCCAATCTTGCTGCTTGTAATGTAAGTGCTTATCCAAATGCGGGCTTGCCCAATGCTATGGGCGAATATGACGAAAGTCCTGAGCAAACCGCTGCCATCGTGGGTTCTTTTGCACAAAATGGATGGGTGAATTTGGTGGGTGGATGTTGTGGTACTACTCCGCCACATATTGCAGCCATCGCCAAAGAAATGAGTAAGTACAAAGCTAGAGTTTTGCCAGAGCTAGTACTTGTATAATATTTTATTATTCAAACTATAAAAAGTGCGAGATTCTCCGAGAATCTCGCACTTTGCTTTATGCCGACTTTAATTCAATTAATTGGTAACATTCTTCAGCACCACAATAAAATTGTCAGGCTGAGCGGAGCCGAAGCCTTAGGCAATTTTATAACATTCTAGAAGACTATTCATCTGATTTATTGCTATGATGAGATGCATTAGAGCAGATTGCCAATACTTTCAGTAAATCAATATTACCTTCTATTAATGCTTCTTTCTTTTTGCGGCTCCAACTCTTTATTTGTTTCTCAAATGCAATCGCCTGTGGTACAAAATGAAAATCTTGTTGGAAAACTAACGTAAACGGTCTGCGGTTAAAAGTGTAGCAACTGGTGATTAATCCGTTAACATGCTCTTCCATCCGTCTATACAATTCGTTAGTGATGCCCGTATAATAGCTGTTAT